ACAGGGACGCACGGCCACAGATGGACGCACAGCCACACAGGGACGTAGAGCCACACAGGGACGCACGGCCACAGAGGGACGCAGGGCCACACAGGGACGTAGAGCCACACAGGGACGCACGGCCACAGAGGGACGCACGGCCACACAGGGACGTAGAGCCACACAGGGACGCACGGCCACAGAGGGACGCAGGGCCACAGAGGGACGCAGGGCCACAGAGGGACGCAGGGCCACAGAGGGACGCACGGCCACACAGGGACGCAGGGCCACACAGGGACGTAGAGCCACACAGGGACGCACAGCCACACAGGGACGCACAGCCACACAGACACAATCTGAGCTCTCCTCTTTCCCAGAGCATCCATTCATTTCCCACATGTTTATCCTAATCAGTGTTGGTGGGGGGGCAGGAGGGGGGGAAAAAAGGGGTAAGTGTCGTGATTTAGAGACCATTGTAATTTGATGAGTAGGAGGTTAAATCATTCTGCAAATCTATTACAGACTAAAATAATAAAATAACATTCAGTTATTAATATGCAATGATGTAATGCTATGATTCGCAGCCAGGGCGAGTGTTGTCTTGATCTTAGAGCAGCATTGCATACATCATCAACTGTACCACTTTTCCAGCTTTGTGGGTTTAATCAGTACAACAGACAGGAAATTTACTACAAATATAAATATGAACATCAGTTCAACCTTGGCTGCTCTGGTTGAAGAGAGAACTGAATTTTAAAGATCACTGTGCAGTTAGTTCTACACCCCCCCCCCCAGCAGTGTTTGTATGATACTGAAATCCCTGTAATTCAGGCCCAACTGCCAGGAAGTGCCAGCAGTGCCACCCTCATCGGCCTGACGTCCGGGGCTTCCTACAACATCCTTGTGGAGGCTGTGAAGGGCTCCGGTCGGGAGAAAGTGCTGGATGAAACAGTTACTGTTGGCCATGCGGGTAAATGCACACATGAATTTATCAGTTACTGTTGGCCTCTGTTAAGCAATTTGAAACATGTTTGTAACAGATCTGTAACGACACATTATGTAATAATGCCGCAGAATGTAATAAATTGAAAGATGATAATAATGATAATAAGAATAGGGTAATGTTGCGATATAACATTATAATGTATTCTATAATGTATTCTATATATTTGTAACATTTTGTCAAGTTATTACATGATATGGTGTTATTACATAATGTGACTGTAACAACACATGTAATAACAACGCGTTATGTTTTGAAAATTTGTTACATTTTGTCAAGTTATCATATAATACGGCATTATTACATAATGCATTATTACAGGGTCATTCATGAAATCTGATTTAAATGCCCCCCCTTTTTATAGTGAAAATGCTGTTCTTTCCTTTTGGTTTCATGCGGTTCCTACTTAAATCAGTTTGAAACGGGTGCCTTCTCCCTTACGCACAGTCCCGGGGGCCCTACCTGCTGACAGGGATATGTGCTACGACACTTTCACTGGCGCCGCCTACGAGGTGGGAGCCGAGTGGGAGCGCATGTCCGACACGGGCTTCAAACTCTGGTGCACATGCCTGGGCCTTGGTAGCGGCCATTTCCGGTGCGATTCCTCCAGTGAGTCACGTGCTTTCCATTACCCATAACCATGCTAGCCATCCATATCGATGAATACCAAAATACGGCAAAAAGAAAATAAGCGTTAATGTTATCAGTTAAGATGTAATGTAAATGGTGTGTGTGAAGGTGACCCATTCTGTCGCTTGGCTGTGGAGTGAGGGGATTTCTTCAGGCTGAAAATGTCCTCACCGTTTTTCCCACGCTGCCCCGATCAGAGTGGTGCCACGACAACGGTAACAACTATCGCATTGGCGAGAAGTGGGATCGCCACGCTGAGAATGGGCACATGATGAGCTGCACCTGCCTGGGCAACGGCAAGGGCGAGTTCAAGTGTGAGCCCCGTGAGTGAGACGGCCTTTCCTACTCGAGGCAACATGCACTTCCTCTCTGCAGCTCTCTTACTGTCAATGATGTCATTTACTTTAATACGTTTCATGCAGTATCTATCCAGCGTTGTTGTTACTGTATTCAAGTCCCCTTATTAATTTATGTTTGCACAGTTCAGTTTGCAATGCATAGTGTCTTTGCACTTTGTCTTCAGTGTGTGTAACAGTGAACTATATGCTTCTATGATCTAGCCTATCTATCAATCTATCTATCTAGGTTCTTCCTATCACATGCTATGTAAGACTGTCTTTATATTAACAATGACCATACTGGATAAACCTTTACTGACAACTTATGGATCAACACATATTATTAGTATTTTATTTAGTTGTGGGTGTTTTACAGTAGACTTTTGCGTATTTATGCAGATGAGTCCACTTGCTATGATGATGGAAAAATGTACCACGTCGGGAACCAGTGGCAAAAAGAGTACTTGGGAGCCATTTGCACCTGTACTTGCTATGGTGGACAGCAGGTAAGATGCCTCGTAGAGACACTGGTCTGCACTGTGTCACGGTGCTTTATGGGTATGTACACGCGAGGCCTCTTTGTGGCTGGTTTGCGTTTCTGCCCGGGAGTGCAGGAAGCAATGGTCCCGGTGCTCTCATGTAACAGTGTCTGCTGTAATTAATGGTGGGGTTTGGCCGTAGTGCTCAGGTGTGTGTCGGCCTCACTGTGCGCGTGTCACTGACGTCACAATTCCCCAAGGGCTGGCGCTGTGAGAACTGCCGACGGCCGGGGAGCGAGGTGGGTGTGGACGTTCACCCTGTGCACCCCAACGCGTTTGAGCGCTACAGCCACAACGTCCCGCGCAAAGTGGTGAGTTCGCTGCCTCCTACAGATCAGTGTAGATCATTTCTTTAACCTGTCTTCCAAAATCACTGACATGCCATCCATGGTGTTCCCTGTATTGTGCCCTGTTTGATGGGACAGGCTCCAGATTAATCACGATCCTGTGCATAAGCAGCAGTTATGGATGGATGGATGGATGATTTACTTACTTTACTGACCTGTACATCTTTATTTGTTAGATACGTACTTGAACATGTTACAGAACTTGGTTGTCAATATAGTAATGAAAAAGCACAAAATACAATTTGAAATCAAATTTGCAAATGTTAATTCAAATTTTGTACTTTAAGATGAACAAGCAACCAGTCTTGAGTGGTACAAAACAGGGTCCTATGTAGGTACAGTGACACCGTTTGATCACTTTTTTGCCCTGGAAATCCCTGGCTATGAATGACAAAAATATTCATACATGAGATAGTCTTTGAAAAATATGTGATGCCAGTCAGTAAACAACTGAAAATGTTTGTACTTGTGAGATGTGGAGAGAAAGCCAGGCTGATGGATAATGGTGAGTTGCTGGTGTCTTTAACCCTACAGAACATCCAGTGTCCTATAGAATGCCTCAGACCGGAGCTCCTCGCAGACGCACACGTCCCTCACAACCCACGGGAGTGAGAGCCGGCCTCCAGCCCCCCCACCCATTACAGTGGAAGGCCAACCACCCAATAACCTCACCCCTTAACTTCCTCCTGTCGGGCTTCCGATCAGGGTCCCAGCTAGTGTCCGGCTGCTTCTCCACCTCACGCCTCCTAAAGTAGCACTGCGGCGAGCTCTCCTCACCCTGCCTGTCATCCCCATTTCTCTGCCCTTTGAAACACTTTAACGGTCAATGGAAAAGACATTCCCAACACTGTTGCAGAAGGTGATCCCCTTTGGATCAAGACCCGCATTTATGGGAGAACTTTAATTTGTTAGAGAAATCCAAGAAACATTGATTAAACTGTCCCTCCACTCACTAGCTTTAATGTGTTTGTTATTAAAATTGTCCACAAACCGCAGAAGGGCGGAGGACCAAAGCCAGACCCTTGTTGTATGTGCCTTACAGTGTTATTTTGAATGACTGGATATTTTAAATGACCCCTAAAGCTATCAGTTAGTAGTGGTAATGGTATTTCTCATGCTTAGAAGAAGCACATGGGCCCTGAAGGAAATGGTGCTGCAGCCAGCGGGCAAAGATGCATTCCAGCGTGCCCACGTCTCTCTCGAGGGGTTGGCACTGCTGCAGTGGCACTGACTGGCGTTTACAAATGCTGACCTTGACTGACCTGTCATTTTCCATTTCTTGCTAATTTTTGTTGATGCAATTTTTGAACATTATTTTTATACTGCAAGTACCATCTTAAATACTGTGGAGAAAGAAAGAAAAAATCCCATTTTCAATAAAGTTTCACAAACATTCACCAGAAAGGGATTCATCATAAATTAATACTAATAATGAGTACTCTTACATTAAACTTGTCTTTGACTACTGTCTGAATCTGTTATTTCTAGCCTCAAACAGGACAATGTTTAGGCTTTTAAACCCCATGATAGCAGAGCTACTTTAACTGCTTGTAATTAAAGTTATAATTCCTGTTACTTAAAAGAAAATGTGAAGTGGTTTTAATAAGTGAACATTCACCATTCAGAAATTGTGTATCCTGGAGGGGATCAGACCCCCTCCACCTACTCGACCACTAGATTACAGGTGGTCCCTTGGAGCATGTTAGCCCAGGGATGGTCTAGAACAGACAACAGGAAAATCCCTCCCTGTAAATAACTCTGCTGCACTAGACAGAAAAGGAAAAGTATGTCTGTCAGCACAGTAAAGGCTGGTTCATACTTCTCTGCAGAAGGGCAACACTCACGTATCCACTCTGCATATGACCACAGCAATGCTCATAAGTCTCTGGTCAAGCCACGTACTTTGCACATGTGCACGTGTTGAATCTATATTTCTTGATATACATTATTGTGATTCCTTGCACGTATACCACTGCAGTGAGGTTTGTGTCCATTTGTTTTACAAATTAAAACCAGCACACAGCATTGCCAACTTTGGTCAGCTAGCTGGTGTGAGATTTTCAATTCAGTCTGCGCACACATACACACGCAACATGTATGCAACAGTTTTTACCTTGTAAATAGTCTGTAGGGTTTGCAAACTACTCCAACGCTCGTCAAAAGCATCCATGTTGGTATTTAAAGTGGACGTCAGCGAATCAATCATGCGCAGTGTGCCCAGAGCTGCACGCACACCACTGCATGGACGGACATTTGGAGCGCAGCAGGCGTTCATCTGTTGAGGCGCACAGTGGTGTGAAACATATCAAACATTCGAGCAGACATGTCCACTTGTACGCGTGCAGAGAAGAATGAACCAGCGTTAATTTCACAATCTTCAGAAGGCACCACCTTTCATAAACATGTCAAGATTACTGTACATCTGAAGCAGGATGGATCTACGGCTAGAGGACAAACTCCACCCCCAATAGCAAGAAAAATACAGATGTCAAAATTGTCAGGACCAACTAAAACAAAGGGGGGGGCCGATATCCACAGAAATGTCACTTTATTTTTGACCTTTTAACAACCATGAAGATGCTGAACATGGAAGCTTTGTATAGAGAAGCAATGGAATACAGAGGAATGTACCATGTGTGACCAAAGAAGGGGGGCCGGGATGTAATAAGCAGTTTGCAAGCTTTCAGTGGTGGAAGAGGCGCAAGTTGGTATGAACCAGGGTGATGCCCAACTCATTGCAGGCATCAATGACCACCTGGTCAGCAGTGGAGCCAGAGGGCGCTGCTATGTATTCCACTCCACTCTAGATAGGAAGGAAGGAATTTACAGTGGATTTACAGTGCAGTGCTGCTTCCCCGCTAAGAACTTTAAGGAAAAAACCAAAAGGGAATGAAGGCTGAGAGAAGGCCCAAGCTGTACCTGTCTGGCACGGTCCACGTTGTCTCGGAAAGGGAAGAAAGCGTCGGAGCTGAGGGCCACGGCTTGCAGGGTGCTGATCCAGTTCTTGCGTTCAGTATCCGCAAGCAGCTCTGGTACTTCCTCAAAAAGGCTCTTCCACAAAGCCAAGTCTGGGCCCTGGAGCATCCACACACCGAAGAGCAAAATGGTCACAGAGTTCAGGCACAAACATCTGTCCAAACACAGAAAAGTATTTAGATGTGAAAAGTCTCCTGACTTAGGGTAGGGTCTTACCTCTCCAATGGTCCCACTCACATACTGGTCAATGGCATTGGCCATCTCAGCCCGCTTGACTCCACTCTTGAACTTCATAGAAAGCACTCTAGGGTGATGCCTAAGCCACCAGTTATTGGCTTTGTCTCCAGCCAATCGAGTGCAGTGGATGCGAGACTGTTGCCCCGCCCCAATGCCAATGACCTTACCAAAAAAGGACAGTGGGTCATCCCATTAACAATGTCAGTAACTACAACATCCAGCCACTCCATACTTCCAAGCTCTTGTCTTTAGCGTGTGTCGTCTCAGGATTACCTGGCCGTCTTTGGCATAGCACACAGAATTTGACTGGGTGTACTTCACTGCTATAGTGGCCACAGTCAGGTCCCTCAGGGCCGTCTCTGACAGCTGAAATAAAGGACATTTTCTTAACAGTTTGACCTACAGTGTTTATCAAGAATGCTTTGGACATTTACTATGAGGAAAGGGCACCAGCAAACAGCCTGATTTCAATTAAAATGAAGAATTTCCTTCGAAAATAACTCTGAAGAGCACCAAAACTATTCTGCTCCTAAAAGGGTGAGTGTGCTTTCTACCCACCATGCCCTTGGAGACGACATTGTTGAAGAGGCTGGCATCAATTGACGCCCCATTCCTCTTCTGCTTGAGGTGCAGGCCAAAGAGCACACGCACTTCACTCTCGTCGGGCTCGTACTCTGGGTCCATCTGAAAAAGCCACGGTTATTGGGGAAGGACTTGGAGTGTCTTCTCAGAATTAATTCAGCCGCCCCCCATGACAGACACTCATCAATAAACCTAGTTAACTTGGCAAAAGTAACTCCTCTGCAGACAAACATTGTTAAATTTGGTTTGACCATGATTTGTTGAACTAAAGCCAAGTAAGAATATGACCCAAACACTGGAGTCTCCTCGACTGGCGAGGCACAGGCTAATCTGTCAACGCGCCCAACAGCCCCAGTCACTACGGCCCTCACCTGCAGCACACAGTAGTTGCCATTTTTTTTCTTAGCGAGGATTTTCAGCGCTGCTTCTTCGTAGCCGGGGGCGATTATCCCATCGGAAACCTGCAGTGTTCTACACAATCTCAGCAATTCATTACAACACTACAGTATTTTAAGTTTTACATTTGTTGGAAATCCTTAATAAATGGATTATTAGCAAAAGCTAGCACTTCTTGGAAAGCATAAACAGAATTATGCTCCTGTTTTTTTCTACTAAAAGTTATTTTAAGAAATCAATGTAATTACTGAATACTGTCATATTTTCAAAATACAATAGCCTTTTGTAAATTCCCCCAGTGCTGAGTTTAAGTTGATTAACATTATTGACAGTTGGACATGAACACCCAAGCAAATACCCCTCACTCTAGCCAGACGGGACTTGCCTCTCTAGAGATAATCTTAGCTGTTGGAACGTCACAGATGTCAGACAGAGCGATGAAATCCCCAAATGAGGACATTCGGTCAGACCCTGAAGGAAGAAAAATCATCCAATCAAACACACACACACATACACTTTCTAGCTTAGATTCCTTAAAATCATGCAAGTGTCAGTCATACAAGCCTAAGGATTGTATTTATTTCAGGATAGTATCCATTTCACACGGATGATTTTGACCCCTTCAGAAAATGATGAGATGTTGGGCAGCACTTGGGTTTCAGGTTGGAGGGAGAGGTCACCTCTGGCTCTGGCGTAAGCGGTCGCTAGCGGGCTGAGCTCCTGGAGAAGGTCCTTTACCATGCAGACCACAGCTTCCTCCTCAGTAAGCGGGACGCCAATGGCAGCACCTAGGGCACATGGGAAATAAGCAGAGCAGCCTGGACCTTCATGTTAACCTCATTTGGAATGTTAACCTTCTAAATCAGTGCAATTTCAATGAGATTTCTGCATTAAATGTATCAGTGAAATCACCAGCTTACCAACATTAATGTTTCCATAAAAAACAAAAAACAAATGTTGACTGGCCAAAGCAGACTCCTACTGCACCTCCCAAGCAGACTCCTACTGCACCTCCCAAGCAGACTCCTACTGCACCTCCCAGCTGACGTGTGCGGACCCACCTGCCGGGCTGACGTGCTTAAAGGAGGCGGCAGCAGGGACCCCCAGTGCTCGCTGCAGCTCCCGCACCAGCTGCCAGGCATTCAGGGCGTCACACAGGTTGATGAATCCCGGCGAGCCATTTACCACTGTGACAAAAGACCATTGTAGTGATGGCATCTGGACGTCGTGATTTATAATAAACACAATTTGTGAAAAATTGGACAATATTATGACCGGTCATGGTCACAGGGCACACTGCATTCCCAATAAGCACTCACATACTCCAATTAATTGTCTAATTGACACATTTGGTTGTCCTGCCCTAAATGGACAGTTAGTAAAAGTTGGGAAATGTGCCCATGCACCAGATCGCCAGAGAATATCTGCTGTGAAGAAACAGGACAACAATTAAGGGGCTTAGGACCAGAAGTCCACTAATATAGGTTCTCAGGAGCGCATACAGTTTTTTTTTGGGGTGGGGGGGTGGAATGGCTGATAAAGAACAAAAATCAGTCAGTAGAAAAACAGAGTGACACGGCTGCTTAACTTTAAGTATTTAAAAATACAAAAAAATAAATATTAAATCACACTTGGGCATGCAGCATTTTAAAATTAATAGAAAATAAATGCATTCAGTGGTTTCTTTGGCATGAGTTAATTTTGGATATAAGCCACAAAACTTTCAAAATTGAGATTGTTTCAGCTTTGTGGGGATGTTATTGATCAAGCCAAACTGATGCAAGTGGGAGGGATTCAGAACTATTACCTTTAGTTGTCACACAGGTTCACTACTGCAAGTGCTAATAAACACACCACAACACTGACAAAGTGACCTCTCCGTGTGGCACGCTGTCAATCGGTCACTATCGGCCATGTAGTCTTATTAATGGGCCGAAGACAATTGTCATAAACTGCTTAAAAATTGGCTGTTTTTTTTATTATTCTTTTTATGGCCGGTCGGTCGGTCGACCTCTACTTCGGACTTAAAAGACAAGTTGCCCCAACTTTGAGGCATTATTCTGTAGGTGATAGTAGACCTTCTCCAGCTAAATAGGCGTTCAGGGCAGATGCGAGATACCTTTGAGGGGCAGAGCTGGGCGCAGGGTACACAGCTGGGCAGGTGCCTGGTGAGGGTTCATGCCGTAGCGCAGGGGGAGATGGGAAACGCCACTGCTGTACTCTTTGCGGAAATAGTCGGAGATTGCCTCATCATACTGGGCAGTGTGAGTGAAGGCCTGCAAGTAGAGGAATGAAGATCTCAGCCACGAATGAACAACCACTGCAAAGCATTCCCGACCAATAGGGCAATGACACTGCCTGAAGAACCAAACATCTCCTCACTGACTCGTACAGCCTTGAGACCTCAGAACGGGGCAAGAATCATACACCCAATGCAATATGGGTTCTCTCTCCAGAACCACTTAGCTCATTAAGCTCTTGCGCACCTCTCAAGAACCTTCCACTAGGCAATTTTCATTTTCGCTTAACTACTTGATGCTGTAGACAATCTGAAGCTACACACAGCCCAGGGACTGAGGGGAGTACAGTTGAGAAGCAGTCACACTTAACAGTGATAATCTACACAGTGGAGCTTGCACAGCCAGTCCATTCCTACAGCACAGACTCTGACACACCCATAATCAATAACAGATCACGTTTTCATTGTTCCCCTGATCACAAACAGCAAATCTTTGACATTACACCACAAGGGTATCACACTGGCTTTTATTAAAGAATCAAGTTGTTAACTATTCAATAAAATCCAAAGTCTGAATGTGTAGGGATAATAAGTACACTGTATTACTTACACTGTATTACTTACACTGTATTACTTACACTGTATTACTTACACTGTATTACTTACACTGTATTACTTACACTTAACAGTTGGAACAAGTCCATACTGAAAGAAATAATTGCAGAAAAGCAATAAAGGAAAAGGTTACAAAAGGGCCTCAAATTTTTAAATTTACCCTACAAAGTAAAACAGAATATGAAGAGCGTTAAATGTTTTTCTATAGCAGACACTTGGCTGGCTTCTTAGAGCCAGAGCCTCCTCTGTAAAGTTCTTACGGGTTGCTGCTAATTTTCAACTGTAGGTTTTTGAGGGTAATGCAACGTCGTCATGGTTACATTCAAGCTCAGGTTGTTTTGTGCACTACAGTTGTCATTGTTACTTAGAAGATCAAGCTTTCAGGGGACCAATGTAATCATGGTATGTTGGCAGGTTTAACGGCACGAGACAGCCAAGACTGTTACCTTTAGAGCGAGGGTTTTGCGGGTATCCAGAGAGGTGTCCCGAGAGTCAGATTTCTCCATTTCAGCAGCAACCAGCTCATAGTCAGCAGGATCACACACGACAGTCACACGAGCATGGTTCTTAGCTGCTGCCCGCAGCAATGTCACACCACCTGAGCAACCAGAAATTAAATCAACTCCCGTTCCTTCAGGCTAACATTAAAGTACTTACACCTTAATGACTTTAATAACAGATTTGACAATTAGGAGATATTTAGAGCTAGCATGCACTGAAATGGGACAGTCAAACGCAGGCAGGCACTGCTGGGTGCCAAAGCTAAGGACAAGAGACTCACCAATGTCAATCTGCTCCACTGCATCAGCCACAGTCACATCAGGAGAGGAGACCGTCTTTACGAAGGGGTACAGGTTACACACCACCACCCTGACGAAACACGGCAGGATCGCTGACTGGGTAAAATAATGCAAAACTAAAATCACAGAACCTGTTGTTGTGCTGCTGTGCAAGAAATGCCAGAGCAGACGCTGCTTTCTGAGGAGGCTCAAGTCTTAATGTGTGTAGCTACCTGCAGTGTTTGTTTCAGCAGTCCGCAGTGGTCACTGCATTTTTTTTTTTAACACAGTGACCTGCTGGTAAGGCAGCAGTATCAGCTCAAGCGATGCCAAATGCCTGAACAAGCTCACCAGGAAGGCCAACTCAATCACAGGACTGACCCTGAATCCACTGGAGGGATGTTGGCAAAATTGGACAATATTATGAACAGTTCTGCCCATCTGCTTCAGGAGGCCTATCATCAAGCTCATTTAGCCACTGGCTCATTCCACCACTGTAATAAAAAAAACGCTACTGGGGATCGTTCCTGCCTGCTGCCACAACACCTCCCCCGGATGTGCGGACTCCCCATCCATAGCCGTAACACGTCATAAATATCCCGTCTCCTACAATAAACGTTTGATGCTCTCTGTTCATTAACTGCACAAATACCATAGCCAATTTATTACACTAATATTCAAAGATTTACTTCTCTAGATCACAATATTCTGTTTTTTCAGGGTATTTTATTTATGTTCTCTCTAAATCTGTTCTCACAACATTTCCTTGTTTGTACTATGTGTAGTCTCCTTGCACCCTTTTGGTATTAAATGTGGGTTTGTCGGTGCACTACATTCTTGCTACTCTATGTACCAGAATTTTCCCCCAGGATAACTAAAGCCCACCTTAATGTTTCAGTCCACAGTGAGCAGGCTGTGTGGGGTAGTGACAGTATCCACATTTAATGTGGATGGACATGCACAGCCCAAAATCACCACAACCACACGCCTGATCCCATACGGCCATTAAGGCATGTGATGCTCCCTGGACAAAGTGATAGCAGCACTGTGTCAATTACCCTGTAATCTGATTGCCTGGAAGTAGCAGATGTCGCAGGTCTAATCTTGCTGCTAACTACATTACTAATAACTACAAGCACTCCTGGACAGGGTCACATGACATTCCAGGAAGCCAAAGGAACTGTAGATCAACAAACCAAGGTGAGACGCAGACATGACCGTTACCTCACTAGACTGAAGCCAAGCTTCTCCAAATCATCTTTATCAGAAGGGGTGTTACGGGCCAAGATGCCCCCATGCACAGCAGGGTGCAGGGTCTTCACTCTACCCCCCAGCATCTCCGGAAAGCCAGTGAGCTCTGACACATCCCTGGGAAAAAGGCGGCGTCGCATTAAGCATGTCCATAGCAATATGGGGTACCAGGCATACCCGTCTGAGAATGCACTAATCCCCATTTCGCAAGCATAATCCCTCACATTCTGGATTTTATCTGCATTACCTACAATGTTGGCAAATTCCTAAAGCACTCTAAACAGAACAATGGCCTACTTTGTGCAATATAACCTATGGTCCAAACAGAAGTTTCCTCTGATCCTGTAACAGTACCTGAATTACTACTCTGCAATGAAAGTTAGCAGGGAGGTGAAGATTGAGAGTTGGGTGTACGCTTTCACAGTCACTGCACCTACTGCTGACATAAACAGACCCAGACAAGGCAGAACGTACCTGACCACCAGGCCGGCATCACGGAGAGTTTTTGCAGTGCCACCTGATGCCACAAGGGACAGTCCAAATGACACCAGGCGCTTGGCAAAGTCTACAAGGCCGGACTTATCGGACACACTCAGAAGTGCTGAGGAACAGAACATGAGAAAACTCCCATTAAGACCAATAACAAAAATAAGTGGTGGAACTCAAAAACACAGACAATGATGGCTGTTAAATGTAATGAAATATTGGAAGCCCACAACATAAAGCGCTATCATAATCAGCAACTGATACTATCTATTAGGAAACATACGTTTCAATAAGCAAACATCAAGCAATAAGAAAATAAAAATAAAAAGAACGTACTATACCAAGGCATTAGATGACTGGCAAAGTATGAAAGAAATTACAATCGCATATCGTTTAAGGTTCTTTTCCCAGATACTCGAGATCAAGTCCCACTGCTCAGATTCAAACCAAGTAACGATTAGGCTACCGAAACTCACAGTACTTAAACATCCAAAAACAAATCGGTTGTCAGATTATCAAATATTTACAGAGGTTCCTTTAGCGCTCAATGCTAGTACGAAATAAAGCACATTCAACAAAATGAAAGTTTTACTTCCAAAAGTGAGTAGGTTGCTTAAAAGCGAAATATTGGCATATGACTTAGCTAGACAACTTCCAAGCAAATTTTCGCAAATATATGTAGAGCTAATTTTCATTCTTTTGCTTCACAGGTAGGTCTTAAAGACGGATATACCCACAAAATCAACAACAAATAAAATTTACCAATTTCAGCGGAAGCCATAGTACTAACAGGCACTGCAACTATGTAAAAGTTTGCACCCCGAAAGATAAGTTTTCAGTTCAACCAGGTAGTGCAGGGCCACGTGGGTGCGAGATTTATAAGGAAAGGCATGATGGGAAATGCATGATGCCCCTAACCCCGCCCCTTCGTATTATGACGACAGAGAAATTCCGCGAAATTAAAAATATGCCAATGCTGAATGTCTAGAGAAGTTTCTCGTTAATTTTGGAGCATTTCCAAATTACGTGTCAAGTAAAACTAGATTAAAGCTAACTAAACCAACTAAATAAATTTTAAGAATCTGTATTTTACAGCGTGGAGATAGTGATTGCATTGGTCAGATTTTGGTCAATAAGAACCGATGGCCACCTGTTTCTGTTTTTGAGTAAATTAAATGACTGCGAAAGCACCCGCCAAAACGTTACAAACTGCAAACAGTACATGCTATAGTTCAGTCTTGGATATGTAAATCTATTTACTATACTGATGTGAAATTGAAATTAAAATGACAAAAGAAAAAAAAAACATTCGTTCAACTGTGGACACAATTGTCCCTATAATACGCTATGGCTAAAGAGATTATAGTTCGAACACACAGTTAACATTTCTTATATCAAAATGGCCAGATACGGCTTTGAGACAAAGATGGAATTTCTTTAAACCACGAAGCGGAGCTGGATTTTGTAGGCTACTTTGCAGATGGGATGCGCAATTAACGCTAAAATTCACAATGTATAATATAATGTTTTCTGAAATCGGCAAAAGTCTGGTTTACATGACAATGAGCCCTCTACAAGTTATATTCTAAAGTTAAACTTAACACACTGCAGCTCAGTGGTCACTATGTCGTACTCTCTGTGTGCTGCCAATAGAGGGCGTCCAGTGATTAATTATACTGAGAACAGATCCAGGTAGAAAAACAAAGCTGTAATCGTCTGCTTGACTAGGTACATTCTGCAAGCAGTTATTAGTAGCCTCATAGTAAAACTACGGATACTGTACTTTAACAATCAGGACAAATGATTAGTAAATGGTATTTAGTATGGAACATCAGGCAGGAAGTGAAGACTTCAGTGTGATAGGGAATATTCTCCATATACCAACAAAAGCATTCACATTTCAAACTGTCACCCATCCATCTTCCTTAACCGCTTATCCAGGTTAAACAGGTCTGTTTTCATAGAGCCTGCTAATGCAAGCCAAGTGGACAAAATAAACATTTTACTGTTTGACTTTTTTATTTTTAATTTTGGGGGACAAGTGTGTTGTTCTGTGGGTTGGAATACTGTGCATGTTCAGAAAGTCACTGGTTTATGAGAGACCGGTCATAGCAAAATTATACAATTCCTTGGTGAGACCTCACCTAGAATATTGTGTGCAGGTTTGGTCACCATATCTTAAAAAGGACATAGCGGCCTTAGAAAAGGTGCAGCGTAGGGCCACAAGAATTATTCCTGGTCTTAGAGGAATGTCATACGAGGAAAGGTTATTTGAGCTAAATCTGTTCAGCCTCAAGCAAAGGAGACTGAGGGGGGACATGATCCAGGTCTATAAGATTCTAACAGGTTTGGATGCTGTTCAACCGAATAGTTACTTCAGCATTAGTTCAAATACAAGAACTCGTGGACATAGGTGGAAATTAGCGGGAGAACATTTCAAACTGGATTTAAGGAAGCACTTCTTTACACAGCGTAGAGTATGGAATACTCTTCCTGATAACGTAGTGCAAGCTGAATCCTTGGGTTCCTTTAAATCAGAGCTAGATAAGATTTTAACAACTCTGAGCTATTAGTTAAGTTCTCCCCAAGCGAACTCGATGGGCCGAATGGCCTCCTCTCGTTTGTATAGTTCTTATGTTCTTATGTTCTTACTGAAAGCAGGGGTGCAGTAAAGGAGGGGATAGTTAGGGTGATTCCAAGGGTCCCCGGCGACAGGGGCCCTCAAAAATTAGTAACATAATATGATTGGTCAGGGTTGAGGACCCAATGTGATATGCCTTCAGGGGGGCCAAAATCTCTAACGACACCCCTGAATGAAACACTTGCATATATATCCTCCTGAGACCCAAGGGAAAAAAGTGTCCTTCAATTTTAGGTTGTTTGTCTTTGGAGTAAATAAGACATCTTACAATTTAGATTTTTTTCAAATTTATTTTTATTTTTAATTTCACAGCATGTCCTCTTTAGTGCACAACAGGAATAAATATGTTTCCCAACATCAGTGAAAAGATAGATGCAAAGATAAAATGTCCAGTACAATGGACATAAATGAATGCGTGGGGTCTCAGGAGGTTACAGACCTGCCGAATCTGTAGGTCCATGCCTGCTGAAACCTGAAACAGGTACCCTCTTCACTTCTGCTATACCTCTGAAACACTATACATTTGGCAGGTATATGTGCCAGGGTTTCAATAATTTAGTCCTCATATTGAGCCCCAGTCGCTCCAGGAACTGGCTGGACCTGATTTCTGACTTGTACATCGCTCTGGATTGAAGCATCCACTAAATAAATGTAGGCCGAAATACCATAATTTTGTGGACTACCATGTGGCATTGCCTCCTGGCACTTTTCTTTGTGATCCTTATCATACTACCAAAAATATTAACTTTTTTGTAATATTATCGCCTGTTTAAATCATGTGTTGACAGTACAGGTTAACAGATAGCATGATAATGCATGATAAACCAGGTAGGCTGTAACCAACTACAGTATATAAACGTGTATATATACTCGCTTACAAACATAGGTTTAACAGTTAATAAACAGTACAGGATTTTTCAAATACTTTCTTCATTCCGATGGCCAGCGGTTAAAGTTGGACAGATGTGAATTTATGGGCCATTCGCTCTTTCCTTTACCATCCCATTAACTTAAGTGACACGACAAGGCAGTAGGAAATCTAAACCAATAAGGGTGATTACTTTAAAAGATCACACAATCTGTTCATATTTCCGTAATGAGCCTGACATTTCGCTGATTGATTAAACTACAGGGTGTAAATATTTTACAGGGTCGCGCTGCTTAAGTTATTGTTTCTGATTTATATTCCAACAAATGAAATACACACATTTATTTATTTAACTCTGAAATGAGGCTTTCTGGTAACCATTTTAAAGTGGAAGAGTACTGCAGCTCATATTGACAGCATAGGGTGACTTTAATATACAACAACGGTAATAGACATCTCAGTTTTTCTGCGTTGCCCGCACACACACGTACAAACACACACGGATGTAAGCTCATTACAGCAGCATTGCCTTAAAGAATTATAAGTAACAAAGCGTTTTGTTGAATCAGCAGCCTGTAAAAAGCAACGTTTTATCACAGAATTTGCTGAATGTATAGTATAGAAATCCGTATCACGTACAGTTCTCTTAAGAGTAGCCTAATATTAGCAATAATTTGGTTATTACAGTATTATTTGCATAGTTGTAGATGCTGCTAGTTATGTATGATTTTTATCTCTATTTTTACTCTATTTTTCCGGTTATTTTATTGTGCAATGAAAGACAAACACCTTTCAAAGTCATCGAAATGGATCGCAGGCATCGCTTTATATTCTGAATAAGAGATAAATTGCTGGAGGCGTGACACAAAGGACATAAATGTTGTGTTATTTTATGGATTTTTCTATCTTCTGTATTTATTTTTATTTATACTCAAAAAGTTCGAAGCATGGTATAAAGTAAAGTGGCGCGTGATATACGTCATCCCAAAGCTCCACTTAAATATAAAATGAATGAATGAATGAATGAATGAATAATATCCTTTACATTAGCTTATTTGGTAGAAGCTTTTCTTCAAATCAAACTTGTCAGTGCAAATAATAAGTGCATTTAGCATCAGACAAATAGAATTAACTCAAGTATATAATCAGCAAGCACAATAGGTCTTGCGCAGTGTTGTTGCATATGCGAGTGAAATGTTGCTGTATAAAAAATGGAAATACAAAACGCCAAGAGTGCCCTAACAAAAACATACTGTATCAATATAGACTGTATCGCGCAAAAACCAAGCCAAGCAAATACATAAATAATAATATAATCCAGCACAAGCTAGGAACACACATACAAGCTAACCAGTTACGCGGCACTCCCCATTTACGATTTTAAGGAACAGTGTATTTATGCTTTCTAATGTGAATCCACTTTAAATGTCAGCATGTTTAAATAATAATAATAATATTAATAATAATAATAATAATAATTATTATTATTATTATTATTATTATTGGCGTTGTTGTTGTTGTTGTTGTTATATATGCATCAATTCACCGATAATAAGTTGTTTAACATAAACATGTAAATATAGCCTTCCTTATTGTTCTTGGAAGGTTTTTTTTTTTATCGTGAAGGCAATTATCTGCAAAGGAAGACAGCCTTTTCTTTCTGTGAAATCGCGTAAGGTCCTAAGACCCAGACTGTATTATTTTCGTTGTATGTCCGTTTTATTCTGGTGAATAAAAATATTAGACAGGACGATACTGCAATACCGAATTTTATCATTTACACGTATTTACTGAAACTTGTTTACCTTATGTTAAAAAAATATGCTTTTTATCATTTTAATATGTCTCTTAATATCTCAACAAATTAGCGGAATATTATCAAAATTAAAAGAACGGAATCTTAAATAAATTCATAACATTGAATTGGTTGGGTTATTATTTACGCTGTGAATATCAAACCTGATCAAACCTCTCCACAAATTTTATATTATAAGCTTTTGCTGCTGGAGGTAAACAGTTCACAGTTTTTTTTGTATTATTTTTTTGAAAATTTCACACATCAATAGGGAAAAATGAAAGTGCATGCATTATATCATATTTGTAATGTATTAATAGAGTGAACTTCACAGATGCCATTTGTAATGCTCATCACAATAATTGGTACTCCTGATACTCTATTATATCAATTACAAATTACCATAATTGTATCTAATTCCTACCATTTCCCCTGTCTCTCTTCGTCCTCCAGTTCACCTTCTCTTGTTTGGTGTAAATCTGCACTAACAGCTATGCAATTACCATACGCACGAAGATTTTTTCGACTCACAGGTGCTTCTACTGCTCTGCCCAATCTACTGCTGTCATCCTCACCCACCATAG